CCATTGGAAAAAAAAAAAAAAAAAAAGATTCACACTACAGGAGAGAGTACTAGTTGAATGGCCACGTAACTAAGCAAGTGGAATTAGTTTGCAGCTCGTAACAGTGGTGTGAGTGTGTTCACTGTCTGTGGTTGCTGCTTATTTATTTATTTATATATATTTTCCTATATATTTTATTGTAGGAAAATGACTAGGAGCATTTTGTCTATTGATAAAATGAGTAATTTTTAGGAATTAAATCAGTCACTCCTGGAAGTTAACATGGGTTCTTTCAGCTTATTGAAGTAGAAACTTATGGGGCCAGCAAGTGGCATGGTGGTTAAGGTGGCTGGTTAAGGTACCCACATGGCTGACTAGAGTTCAAGTCCTGGGCTGAGTCCTGGACCTGGCAGTTTACTTTCTTACTCCTCCCTCCCCAGTCAAATTAAATTAAAAAAAAAAAACTTATTAAATGATCCCTTAAGAGTATCTAAAGAGGGAACCAGCAGTTAGTGTAATGGCTATGTCGCTGGACTCCCACGTAGTCGACCGTGGTTCACGTCCCGGACCTGGTGGCTTAAAACTCACGCCGGGCAAAAACCTCTCCAAAAAAAAAAAAATATATCTAAAGAGAGAATGGAGAATATTTAAAGAGAGAATGCACTCTTTTTAAAAAATTTTAAAATTAGATACTAACAAATTATAATTGTATATATTTATGGGGTACACAGTGATATAACTACAATGATATATATATATATACAATGTGGAATTTGTGGGTCACACTTGTTAACATATCCATCACCTAAAATACTTACTGTGTCATCCCTCTTGTGTAACTGAAATGTTGTACCCTTTGGCCAACGTGTCCCCACTATGACGCTCTTAGACCCTGGTAACCACCATTCTGCTCTCTGCTTCCAAATTCTGTTCTGTTGTGTGCCACATGTGTCAGAATATGAGGTTTCGTCACTCTCTGCCTGACTTACTTTACTCAGTGTAAGGTCCTCCAGGACTCATCTGTGCTGTTGCAGGTGACGGGATTTCCATCTTCTATAAGGCTGAGTAGTATTCCACTGTGTATATACTCGCGCACACCACGTTACGTTATTCAGCAGTCGGTAGACACTATTTTAGTTATTCTGTGGCTCACTGACTGAATGGCTGAAACTGGATGGTAAGAATAGTGGTTTCTTTAGATCACGGTTTTGGAGGTCCAAAGTCAAGCAGCTGCATCTGGTAAGGGTCTTCCTGTTGGTGGAGACCCAGTGTGGCATAGGGCACCACATGGCAAGGGCATGTGTCTGCGTCTTGTTTTAGATACAAGGGAATTCAATACTGGGGGCTCCACGCCTGCCCTCAGTCCTCATCAGCTCCCCAAGACCCCAGCTTTCAACACCATAGTTCGATTAAGTTTCCACCCTCTAGGTCACAGCAACCAAATTACAGTACATGCATCTGGGGGGACACATTCCAACCACAGCTGCTGTGTAGGTTGATTCCATAACTTGGTCTTGAGACTAATGCTGCAGTAAACCAGGAGGGCAGATGTCTTTTTGACGTACTGATTTCAAATCTCTTGGATGTATACCAGAAGTGGGAATTGCTGGATCATATGGTAACTACTTAGAGTGTTTTTGAGGAACCTCTATACCGGTTTAGCATGTAGTTCTGTTAATTTTCATTCCCACCAACAGTGTACTGGGCTTCCCTTTTCTTCACTTGTTATCTCTCCATCTTTTTGATAATAGCCACTCTGACAGGTATGAGGCGATGCCTCATTGTGGTTTTAAGAGAATGCACTGTTTCTTTTTTAAGTTGGGTGATAGCTTTAATTATTATTATTCCGAATTTCTTATGGGAATTTTCAAATATGTATAAAAGTGGGTGGATTCAAATAATGAACCCCTATATACCCATTAGGTAGATTCAACATCGAGAAATCATAGCCATTCTTGCTTCATATGCTTTGCTGCCCACTTCTCTCCATCCCATATTACTGGGCTGTTGGGGAAGTCATGATGCATTTTTACGCAGAAAAATACATCATGCCTTTTCTGACGACGTAATTTTTTTTCTTTTTGGAGAGATTTTCACTGTAGGGTGCGTGCGCTTGCCAGACAGAGACAGAGATAGAGAGACAGAAAGCGAGAAATCACCCCCCAGGGGGGATGGTCACGCCGCAATCCCTTCTCCTCCATTCTCCTCTCGGGATCTTGGGCACGCATGCACATGCGCCCGGCGTGAGTTTTAAGTCAACTGGTCTGGTACATGAACCGCAGTCAACTACATGGGAGTCCAGCGACATAGCCATTACGCTAACTGCTGGTTCCCACGACATAATATTTTGAAGCAAATCCCAAATATGCCTTTTTATAAATATGGGTAGTTTAGATACCGTGTTCAGGTGGAATCAGAGCTTGTCCTCTTGTTACTTGCTTGTCCCACTTCGTGCAATGTCAGAGTTCTGTGTCGTCGCATGTGTCAACATTCCTTCCCTTACAAGCCCGCTGATGTTCCACTGTATGTGTGTGCCGCATTTTGCTTACCATTCATCTATCGATGGACACTTGGGCTGCTTTCATTAATAGACTTTCAAAATGTGACCAACTACTAGACTTTAAAACATTCGTGATAATTTCTTTAATTCATGAAATACCAGTTTTCATATTTCCAATTGTTTCATAAATATTACAAGTATATATATATATATATTTTCAGTTGTCCTTGTTTTTAGAGGTTGGGTTTGAATAGAATTTTTGACTTTTGAACTCTCTTGTCAACTTTCTCATGCAGAGTCTGGTCCAGAATCTGTTCTACCAGAATCTCTTCCAGATGTCCTGGATGATTCAGGTGTTCAAGGGAGCCCTGCGGTGGACACATACGGCCAGGGCTCACCAGAAGCCAACAGTTCCATTTCACCCAGTGGGGAAGACCTCATTCTTCACCAGGTCAGATGCTCTTTCTTCTCTGCAGAGCGTAGGCTCTGGGCTGAGAGCTTGGGACCCAGAACTAAGAGAATTTCCTTTGACAGGTCTCAGTTCTGGTTCTGAAGGTGAATGAGGTATCTTTTGGGATTGAGGTGCGTGGTGAGGACCTGACTGTAGCCCTGCAAGCAGAGGAACTGACCCTCCAGCAGCTGGGCACCGTGGGACTCTGGCAGTTCCTGCACGGACAGTGCCCGGGTGAGCATGGCGGCCATTGCAGGGGAGCTGGTGGGACTATTAGGACAGCCATGGATGAACGTGCACCTGTCGCTGTGCTCTAGGGCTCGCCACTCCAGTGCTAAGTCCTTGGCCCTCCCCTCCAGCAGCCATTTAGTGGAGGAAAAACTCCTGTGAGCCCTGTTTTTGCGAGGATCCTCACAGAGGTCTTTCCGGGGTTTTGTATTCCATGGGCTATTCTTCACCTTTATTTCCAGGTGTTCCTTGAGCGTAAACACAAGGCCAGTGCTCACTTTGTTGTGTGTGCTGCTGACATTAAACGCGTGTGATCAGGGAACCTGTACTGTTCAGATTCAGTCCTTTGATGTGATCTATCATTTACACTTGATGACGGGAAAGACCAGGGCATGTGTTCTGTGTTCCATTTACAAACTTACTGTCTAGGGACCATCAGATGGCATGATTATGTCACTGCACTAACTGCAGTTCGAGTCCTGGAGCCTGTGGCTTAAAGCTCACGCCAGGCACGTGTACGTGCGTGCCCCAAATCCCCCGGGGGAGTGATTTCTCTTTCTGTCTCTGTCTCTCTGGCAAGCACAGGTGCCCTATAGCAAAAATCGCTTTAAAAAACCAAACTTATTGTTTAAAATATTGACTAGAAACTAAAGAATACTTATAAAATATATGTAGGGCATGGAGTAAGAATACAATGGACCCATATACCCATCCCCTAGTAATGTACAGAGGACCGTGACCCGTGGAATCCTCGAGATAGAGAGACAGAAAGCGAGAAATCACCCCCCAGGGGGGATGGTCACGCCGCAATCCCTTCTCCTCCATTCTCCTCTCGGGATCTTGGGCACGCATGCACATGCGCCCGGCGTGAGTTTTAAGTCAACTGGTCTGGTACATGAACCGCAGTCAACTACATGGGAGTCCAGCGACATAGCCATTACGCTAACTGCTGGTTCCCACGACATAATATTTTGAAGCAAATCCCAAATATGCCTTTTTATAAATATGGGTAGTTTAGATACCGTGTTCAGGTGGAATCAGAGCTTGTCCTCTTGTTACTTGCTTGTCCCACTTCGTGCAATGTCAGAGTTCTGTGTCGTCGCATGTGTCAACATTCCTTCCCTTACAAGCCCGCTGATGTTCCACTGTATGTCTGTGCCGCATTTTGCTTACCATTCATCTATCGATGGACACTTGGGCTGCTTTCATTAATAGACTTTCAAAATGTGACCAACTACTAGACTTTAAAACATTCGTGATAATTTCTTTAATTCATGAAATACCAGTTTTCATATTTCCAATTGTTTCATAAATATTACAAGTATATATATATATATATTTTCAGTTGTCCTTGTTTTTAGAGGTTGGGTTTGAATAGAATTTTTGACTTTTGAACTCTCTTGTCAACTTTCTCATGCAGAGTCTGGTCCAGAATCTGTTCTACCAGAATCTCTTCCAGATGTCCTGGATGATTCAGGTGTTCAAGGGAGCCCTGCGGTGGACACATACGGCCAGGGCTCACCAGAAGCCAACAGTTCCATTTCACCCAGTGGGGAAGACCTCATTCTTCACCAGGTCAGATGCTCTTTCTTCTCTGCAGAGCGTAGGCTCTGGGCTGAGAGCTTGGGACCCAGAACTAAGAGAATTTCCTTTGACAGGTCTCAGTTCTGGTTCTGAAGGTGAATGAGGTATCTTTTGGGATTGAGGTGCGTGGTGAGGACCTGACTGTAGCCCTGCAAGCAGAGGAACTGACCCTCCAGCAGCTGGGCACCGTGGGACTCTGGCAGTTCCTGCACGGACAGTGCCCGGGTGAGCATGGCGGCCATTGCAGGGGAGCTGGTGGGACTATTAGGACAGCCATGGATGAACGTGCACCTGTCGCTGTGCTCTAGGGCTCGCCACTCCAGTGCTAAGTCCTTGGCCCTCCCCTCCAGCAGCCATTTAGTGGAGGAAAAACTCCTGTGAGCCCTGTTTTTGCGAGGATCCTCACAGAGGTCTTTCCGGGGTTTTGTATTCCATGGGCTATTCTTCACCTTTATTTCCAGGTGTTCCTTGAGCGTAAACACAAGGCCAGTGCTCACTTTGTTGTGTGTGCTGCTGACATTAAACGCGTGTGATCAGGGAACCTGTACTGTTCAGATTCAGTCCTTTGATGTGATCTATCATTTACACTTGATGACGGGAAAGACCAGGGCATGTGTTCTGTGTTCCATTTACAAACTTACTGTCTAGGGACCATCAGATGGCATGATTATGTCACTGCACTAACTGCAGTTCGAGTCCTGGAGCCTGTGGCTTAAAGCTCACGCCAGGCACGTGTACGTGCGTGCCCCAAATCCCCCGGGGGAGTGATTTCTCTTTCTGTCTCTGTCTCTCTGGCAAGCACAGGTGCCCTATAGCAAAAATCGCTTTAAAAAACCAAACTTATTGTTTAAAATATTGACTAGAAACTAAAGAATACTTATAAAATATATGTAGGGCATGGAGTAAGAATACAATGGACCCATATACCCATCCCCTAGTAATGTACAGAGGACCGTGACCCGTGGAATCCTCGGGAGTCCTTTCCTGACTTTTCCTCTGTCCCTCACCTTTCATACGTAATCACTATAATCACTATCCTAAATTTTGCGTTTACTGTTCTCCTTCTTTATAATTTTCCCAAATGTGTTTATGTCAATATATTATTTAACTGTTGTAGGCTTCGAGTTGACACTATATTGTAATTTGCTTCTTTCATGTAACATGGTGTTCTTGAGATTATTTTAGCTTGTTGAGTTAGCTATCACTCATTCATTTCCACTGCTATCTAACACTGTTATGTAAATATAAAGCCAGCAGCCCTCCACAGCCTGGTCCTCTGTCCTCGGTAAACCAATCACCATTACACTGTTGCTGAGGAGTTCTATGTGGTTAGACGTATGATTTCGTCTATACTGACCACATAGTAAGGTCTTTTTCTGGTCATTATTCCCTAAATGATACAGTACGATAATTATTTGCAGTGTCTACATTATACTAGGTATTATAAGTAGTCTAGAGATGATTTAAAGTGTAGGAGAGGTTGTGGAGAGGATGGAATTTATATGCAGATACTAGGCCATTTCATATGAGGGACTCAAGCATCCCTTTTTGGTATCCAATACATATGTGTGTATATATATATATATATAATGTATATATATATTTTTTTCCTTTTTTTTGGGGGGTGGGTGTTGACCAGCAGGTGGCATGGTGGTTGAAGGGACTGGAGACTCCCACCTGGCTGACCACG